GAATAGAATAGAATAGAATAGAATAGAATAGAATAGAATAGAATAGATATTGGAATGAAAAATAGAATAGAAATAGAAATAGAATAGAATAGAATAGAATAATAAGTAGAATGGAATAGAATAGAATAGAATAGAATTCTTCGTTGGCCAAGTGTGATTGGACACACAAGGAATTTGTCTTGGTGCATACGCTCTATGAGTACATAAAAGAAAAGATACGTTCATCAAGAATCATAAGGTACAACACTTAATGATAGTCATAGGGTACAAATAAGCAATCAGGAAACAATATCAATATAAATCGTAAAGATACAAGCAACAAAGTTACAGTCATGCAGTCATAAGTGGGAGGAGATGGGTGATAGGAACAATGAGAAGATTAATAGTAATGCAGGCTTAGTGAATAGTTTGACAGTGTTAAGGGAATTATTTGTTTAGCAGAGTGATGGCGTTCGGGGAAAAAACTGTCCTTGTGTCTAGTTGTTCTGGTGTGCAGTGCCCTATAGCATCGTTTTGAGGGTAGGAGTTGAAACAGTTGATGTCCAGGATGCGAGGGGTCTGTAAATATTTTCACAGCCCTCTTTTTGACTCGTGCAGTATACAAGTCCTCAATGGAAAGCAGGTTGGTAGCAATTGTTTATATAGGATACTATAGAATAATAACCCAAGTGATCAAGTAAACACAATTATTTAATGTCCATTTGAAGTTACAACAGCATTGAAAAATTATTTACAACTGGGCCTCATACTTATGGCCACTGCACCATCCTCACAGTAACATGATCAACCTTCCTTAGCCATGGAAATTCTGTTCCCAATAGTGGCCATAAATTGAGGACTGCCTGTATACATATACAACATTGCATTAAAAAAGTACTGGGTGTGCATTTTTAAAAAATACGATCTATAAATACTACTTCCATGATTCACACATTTTATCGTCTGTTTGTTTTCCCCAGTAAAATGTTACTTACCTCAGTGCAAATAAATAAAAGATACACAAACATTTCATCTTGTGACTGCTAGGCAATTTATGAGGGGAGAATCCTCCTCCTCCTTTTCATGCAGATTAAAAAAACGAAGCAGTTCCTGAAAACCCATTAAAAAAAAAAAAAGCTAACGTAGAATCCCAGAGTTTCTAAGGGACTCTTCCGTGGCAAGCTCAAAGCAATAAGCTTTGCCAGACAAGTTTTTGGCTTGCACCAGCCTGGAACACTCAAGAATTGTCTTCCTTTGTTCCAGAGTGTGACTGCACCTTCAAAGGCCGATGTAAGTTGCGGGAACATCTGCGCAGCCACACCCAGGAGAAGGTTGTAGCATGTCCCACTTGTGGTGGCATGTTCTCCAACAACACCAAGTTCTTCGATCACATCCGCCGACAAACAGCTTTAGAACGTGAGTACCTGACCTCCAGCATCGCGTTTAGCCCGGAACCGTACAAGTGTTCAACCAACATGAGTTTGGGTCTGGTTAAGATTTGACTTACAAACCCTAGGAAGGAAGTGGACATCTGGAAGAGAGGAAATTGTGGGGCTCCTTGGTGCTCGCAGAGCTTGGCTGTTTTCTTGCAGACGTTTCATTACTAGGTTACATCATCGATGCTAAAAGGGAGGAGGTTTTGCTCTCTGCTTATTTACAAGTGGCTTGCCCAGTTGGTGTGGGCGGGAGTGTTGTTTTCTCCTTGGAAATTCCTTGATTTGCCTGTTGTTTCCTGCTTGATTGTTGGCGTGGTATTAATCTTGATATTAATCTCTGCTCATTTGGGTGTTAATTGCTGGCGAGGAGGTGTTTAGGTCTGTTTTGTTTCCTTTTTAGATTTTTTTAATTGTCTCTTTTAAATGGTATGTAGATGCTGTTTATCTCAGTGTGCCCGTTGATGGGTAATTTGTTGAATGCCCGGCTTCCAGGAACCCTCTAGCATTTTTGGACTTGGGTTGGTCTAGGACAGGGGTCAGCAACCTGCGGCTCCGGAGCCGCAAGCGGCTCTTTCGGACCTCTGCTGTGTCTCCCTGTCAGGTAATCCCACCACTGGTTGGCCCCGCCCCTCGCCCTCCCCTCCCAGTCACTCCTCGCCTGGCCTGAGAAGGTAAGGGTGACGGCGGGGGATGGAGAAGCAGCCAGGGCAGAGACAGAGAGATACAGAGAGGGGGGGGGGGGGGGAGAGAGGGAGAGAGAGACATAGAGAGATACAGAGAGAGAGAGAGAGAGGAGAGAGACATAGAGAGATACAGAGAGAGAGAGAGAGAGACATAGAGAGATACAGAGAGAGAGAGAGAGAGACATAGAGAGATACAGAGAGAGAGAGAGAGAGACATAGAGAGATACAGAGAGAGTGAGGAGAGAGGGTGGGAGGGGGAGAGAGAGATATGTCAAAAGGATTTTGTGGTTCCTGGTGTTTTTTAACAACTGGTTCTCTGCCCTGATAACTGGCTGGGTAGGCGTGGCTGGGGGGTGTCATGTGACTGGTGGAAGTGAGTGACATTGAGTTGGCCACGCCCACCCAGGTTTTGTGGCTCCCAGTGTTTTCTTTTCTGTGGGAAACGGGTCCAAATGGCTCTTTGAGTATTTAAGGTTGCAGACCCCTGGTCTAGAATGCTGTTTCCTAGTTAGAACTATGAATGAACCTAAGAAGAAATTGTGCTAAGCAGTTGCTGATAAAGATTCTCTCCAAATGAGCTGTGTCCTTTAGTTTCTGCCTCTGCTTCACAGAACAGCGATTCCAATGTTCTCACTGCTCCAAAAGGTTTGCCACAGAGAGATTGTTGAGGGATCATATGAGAAATCACGGTAAGATGCCACGAGGAAGCTTCCCCCCACCCCCCCACCCCCTCTCCTTTTCTCTCCTCTTGGTGAACTTTCCCTTTGGGAATGACCTTTTTTTACGTGTGTGTTTCTGTTTTCCTGAGCAGTCAACCACTACAAGTGCCCCCTCTGTGACATGACCTGTCCTCTACCCTCCTCACTACGCAACCACATCCGCTTCAGGCACAGCGAGGAGCGGCCTTACAAGTGCAACTATTGTGACCACAGGTAAGCCCAGAGGCCAGGTGGGAGATGGCACTGGGCTGGGTCTCGGGAAGGAGAGCGTTCCCCCCAGCCCAGGGGGTCTGCAACCTTAAACACTCAAAAGAGCCATTTGGAGCCGTTTCCCACAGAAAAGAAAACACCGGGAGCCACAAAACCTGAGTGGGCGTGGCCAACTCAACGTCACCCACTTCCACCAGTCACATGACACCCCCCTAGCCACGCCCACCCACCCGGTCATTAGGGCAGAGAACTGGTTGTTAAAAAAAACACCGGGAAACACAAAACCCTTCAGATCTTTCTCTCTCCCCACCCTCTCTCTCTCTCTGTCTCTCTCTCTCTGTCTCTGTCTCTCTGTCTCTCTCTCTCTGTCTCTCTCTCTCTGTCTCTGTCTCTCTCTCCCCCTCTCTCTGTATCTCTCTGTCTCTGCCCTGGCTGCTTCTCCATCCCCCGTCGTCACCCTTACCTTCTCAGGCCAAGTGAGGAGTGACTGGGAGGGGCGGGCGAGGGGTGGGGCCAGCCAGTGTTGGGATCACCCGACAGGGAGCCACAGCAGAGGGCCCAAAGAGCCACATGCGGCTCCGGAGCCCCAGGTTGCTGACCCCCGCCATAGCCAAATCCTTCTGCTGATTCTTCGCCACTAAAATAGGTGGTTTAGCAGCTGCCTTAAGCGTTTACAAATTACGGCGAATTAATTGTATTAATAATTGTATTAATTGTAGCTGGTGCCTAGCTCCCAATTACAAAATCGCCATTGTTTTATAAAACCCTCTCTCCTGCTGACCAATGAAATGTGGAATTATTAGGCAAACCACCAGTTTAGTTCAAAGGACGTTTGGGTTAAATAGCTACCGTTTCCAGAACTATTTTTGTTAGACCCGTTGTGGCCTTTTTTTTTTTAATCGAAACCTTGCTCAGGCTTTGACATATATTACAGTGATGAAATCAATATATATGAAACGAGGCGCCAGTGTTTTTCAACCTTGGCAACTTTGAGAATTGGGAAGTTCATCTCCCAATATCCTCCAGCCAGTGTAGCTGTCATAACTCTGAGCGGACTTCCTGTAGGATTCAGCAGAAGAGGTAAGATTATGGTGAGGTTAGCTGTTGGGCACTTGTCCCACTCAGAGGGTTTGTAGAGCTACTTACAGATTATCAGAGTTGGAAGGGACCTTGTAGGTCATCTAGTCCAACCCTCTGCCCATGTAAGGGACCCTACACCATTTCTGACAGATGGCAGTCCAGTCTTTTCTTGAAAGCCTCCAGTGATGAAGCTCCCACAACTTCTGAAGGCAACTTCCGTTCCATGGGTTGATTGTTCTCACTGTCAGGAAATTCCTCCTTATTTCCAGGTTGAATCTCTCCTTGGTCAGTTTCCATCCATTATTCCTTGTCTGGCCCTCGAGTGCTTTGCAAAATAGCCTGACCCCCTCCTCTCTGTGGCAGCCCTTCAAATATTGGAAGATGCTATCCTGTCTCCCCTGGTCCTTCTCTTCACTAGACTAGCCATGCCCAGTTCCTGCAACCGTCCATCGTATGTTTTAGCCTCCAGTCCCCTCATCATCCTGGTTGCTCTTCTCTGCACTCTTTCTAGAGTCTCAACATCTTGTGTGGTGACCAAAACTGGATGCAGTACTCTACGTGTGGCTTTACTAAGGCTTTATAGAATGGTATTAGTACCTCCCTTGATCTTGAGTGTATCAAGTGGATTGTACCAAGAGGATTTGTCATGGTGTAAAATGTCATTGTGATAGGAAGAGACAACTCTGGCCTGCTTTTGGTAATAGCCAGAATGTTATGGCAAAGAACACGAAAAGGGGAGTGTGTATTTTTTGACTTCTGATTGCTGCCATCTTACTTGTCCTGTTTGTGGCAGGATTTAAAACGCTCTCTTTCCATGATCCGTCCACAGCTGTAAGAATCTGATCGATCTACGGAAGCACTTGGACACCCACAGCAAAGAGCCAGCCTACCGCTGTGAGTTTGAAGCCTGCGACTTCAGCGCCCGGTCCCTCTGCTCCATCAAACTGCACTACAAAAAGGTTCATGAGGTGAGAAGGAAGCGGACGGGGGGGTCCCAGAGCCCTGGGGGGGGGGGGGGGGGGGCGGTGTCTGGTTTTAAGGGAAAAAAAGCAGGGTGGTTATAGAAGCTTTGCAGAAGGACTCTTCAGACATGGCTTGGGTTAGCAGATTAGAAGCCGAAGCAGCAACCGTTTCGTTTCCCAAGAAAAAGCAAAGTGACATCTGTTCGTTTTGTCTGAATTGCCTCCGTACAAATATCAAGGGAGTTTCCAAAATTTTGGTGCTTCTGGGAATTCTGAGTTCCTCCAGCTCTCAAAATTTCTTCTCCTTCTCCTTCTCCTTCTCCTTCTCCTCCTCCTTCTTCTCCTCTTTCTTCTCCTTCTTCTCCTCCTCCTCCTCCTGCTGCTTCTGCTGCTTCTTCTCCTCCTCTTCTTCCTCCTCCTCCTCTTCTTCCTCTCCTCCTCCTCCTCCTCTTCTTTTTTCTTTTTCTTCTTCTTCCTCTTCTTCTTCCTCTTCCTCCTCTTCCTCTTCTTCTCCTCCTCCTCCTCCTGCTGTTGCTGTTTGCACAATCAGCCAGATGTTTAGACTTGATTTGGCACTTGTCTACTCACTCAGACCTTCTCAAGAACCTGGGATAGGCAAGTGTTGCTGTTTCATAACACTCAACATGTCGTGTTATTATTCCTATTATTATTTTCCTACCTAGGAATCCAATTTATTGTTTACAGAATCTACAGAGTTGCGTTACAAACAGAACAGCAAAAACTGGATTCCTTCAAGTCGCGGAGTTTCACCCGTAGGTAGAGAAAATGCCCGTCTAACCATTTCTTTCTCTCCTTGTCCATCCTCCCTCAGGGCGATTCAGAGCCCAGGTATAAGTGCCACGTCTGTGACAAATGCTTCACGCGTGGGAACAACCTGACGGTCCACCTCAGGAAGAAGCACCAGTTCAAGTGGCCGTCAGGTCATCCTCGTTTCAGGTACACCAGGGTAGGGCGGGGCTGAAATGCTCTTGGTGGTTTTGTGACACTGTTGAGAGGGCACAACTTCAGTTGACGGGGAGAAACTGACTTGTTGTTAAGCTGCTAGCAGAAGACTTCTTTGCCCAAAGGCCTTCTGCAGATCAGTTTCACTTTCTCACTTCAGCCCCTCTCCTCAAAAGAAAAAGGAGAGGAGGGGATTTCATAGTCTTCTCTTCACATTCCTCCAAAGAATTAATTCTATAAACTTCAGGACAGCTGGAAGTTTAGCTCAAAATCCAACTGGTTTGCAAATGTTTTGTTGAGGAATATGCGCAAAGTAACCCTTGAGTAGCAAGGGTGTGCACATGAGAAACGGCTGAGAGTGATTATGAATAAGCACTGTCAGTACAGACACACTGAGTTGTGATATTTTTTACTTTTAGGAAAAAGCAAAGCAAAGTCCAATAAACAATCCAGGTCATACACATATAAAGATAGTTAAAATGTCAATCCAGGGATATTCCAAGAACAAAGTCTTCTTACCAGTTGTTGTAGTCATATGCAATAAAACAGTTCCTTTTAGAGTTGCAAACAGGAACAAGTACAGCAGTAAACAATCAGTAAAACTAGAAAACAACAAGTAGCAATGATCAAGCAGTGATCATGCAGAGAGGAGCAGAGGTAGCAATAATAATGTAAAAAGAACAATAAGCCACGATTCAAGCTTCCTCTTAAGTACATTGGCTACAGAGCTAGCCAATCAGAATACAGTATGATGCAGTACAGCATTACAGTCTTAAAGCTATACAATACATTTTGACTGCAAACATGCATTGATGGTTTATATATATATTGCCAACCCAACCAGTTAGGTAATAGCCATTTCCTAACATGGTTAACGAGACAAGTCAGGATATTTTCTGAAGAAGCAGATTGTTTGTCCGAGCATCCCCGAAGCACATTGTGCTGTCCTCAAATCAGCAGCAGAGTTACGAAAGAAAATGTTTGTGGTTGATTAAATCCAGGAGGTTTGGTTAAGGCTGGCTAATTGTCTCTTATTATCTCCTGGTGGCTTGTCTCTGTATCAAAGGGAAGCTGGAGTGATTTGTGACACATTCCCAGTGTGAAAGTTTGTGACCTCTTCCGAGTAGCGGCGAAAAAGAGCGATCTAGAAGTGTAGCCTGCAGGAATTGGAAGAAGGGTGTGTAAGAAGATAGCTGGCACCCTTTCTCCGATCCTCTAGAACGGGTGCCAGATCCGGCCTACGATGTGGTCAGATCTGGCCCACAGGGCTATCCTGGAAAATGTAAGGTTGCGTTGCTTTGACCTGGTCTACCCAGTGTGAAGAGGAAACATGCCAGCAGTTTGGGGAGTGGCGTCAAGCTGGCCACGCCCACCCAGTTGGTCACACTCGCCCAGTCGGCCACACCTGCCCCACCCCAAAATCAACCACAGCCCTGATACAGCCCTCAATGAAATTGAGTTTGACACCCCTGCTGTTAGAAGCATTAGATGAGGCTGCTGGTATTATTTCTCTTTTCTCTTTCACCATGGTTGAGGCCAGTGGTGAAAGGTAAAATTTGTTACTACCAGTTCTGTGGGTGTTGCTTTGGGGTGGGGGGTGGGGGGTAATGTGGCTGAATGGGCGTGGCCAACTTTTTTTTTTAACTTTTAAAAGCAAAAGAGGTTTTGAGCCAAAGAGGTTGTAGAAAAAATGCTTTTAAAAGCCTCTGACGATCAGGCAACTCAGCTGGGATCGTCAGAAGCTTTTAAAAGCATTTCTTCTTATAACCTCTTTGGCCAAAGAGGCTGCAGAAAAAATGCTTTTAAAAGCCTCTGACCAATCCCAGCTGAGCCGCACGATCATCAGAGGCTTTTTTTCTTTTTAACTTTTAAAAGCATTTTTTCGGCCGAAGAGGTTGTAGAAAAAATACTTTTAAAAATAATAAAGAAAGCCTCTGATGATTGCGCGGCTCAGCTGAGCATGGAGGTGGGAGCAGGGATTTTTGCTACCGGTTCTCCGAACCACCCGCCTCCATCGCTACCGGATCGGGCGATCTGGTCCGAACCGGGAGCATTTCACCCCTGGTTGAGCCCTCTCACGTTTTTTTTTTTTATAAATGCCAGGCAAGGTGAAGAAAAATGTAGACCCTTCTCACTTTGTGCTAAGATTTCTGGACAAATCAAGTCTGATGAAGAAGTGGCGTATTAGCAGCTTTGAAGGCGTGGGGGTGTTCACCAGCTTTTTGTAATCGATAGTGTTGGGACGCGAACGATTTAGCCACCACCCTGGCTTGATCCCCCGCTAATCTCAGCCTCTGCCACCCCACCTAGGTACAAAGAACACGAGGACGGGTACATGCGCCTTCAGCTGGTGCGGTACGAAAGCGTGGAACTGACCGAACAGCTGCTGAAGGACCGGGAGAAGCAGGGAGAATCTCTGGATGACGCAGCCCAGTGCGTGGTGCTGGCCGGGTCCGAAGGCGGCTTACAGGGCATCATCCTGGACTCGCCAACAGAGGAGCCGGGGGAGGCAGACTTACCAGCTGCCCTGCCAACCGACGGCTCTGCTCCACCGTGTGCCGGCGAGTCTCCGGATTGTGATCCGAGCGCTCCTCCCAGCCCGATCATCCGGGTGGTCAACAGGACCAACGAGCACGGAGAGAACGAGACGGTTTACTACGTGATGGCTAACGCCCCCTCCGAGAGCCGGGCAGTTGTGCCTAGCGGGCTTGTTCCAGAGCCAGAGGAGAACGTGATGGACAGGCTGCAGAAGACCGCCGAGGAACTGGGCATTCAGATTCTCTGAGGCTGCTTCTCCTCCTCCTCTTCCTCCTGAGCAACACCCCGGGGTCTTTCCACACACACACACACACACACACTCACTCTGGTTGGACCTTCCGAATTTGCCAGTGCAAATTGGACTTCTTGCCAAAATGGACTTTATCCTGAATGGAGGTGAGAGCAAGAGATAAATACCAGAGATAAATACACAAACACGCCAGAGATGTGTAAATACACAAATACCAGAGATAAATACACAAACACACACACACACCCCTCAAAAGCCCTTCGTCGGCTCCCTTCAACCTGGGATCTGCTTCCAGACCTCTCGGAAAGGGGTAATCTGGTAAGGGAAGCCAGCTTTAGGGCAGCTCCTCGGGAAAGGGACCGATTTGAGATGGAGGTTGGGTCAGACCTATTCTTCGGAGCCTCCTGACCACACGACATCTACCTGGCCGTATTTGAAGAGCTGGTCCTTCCAAGAAAGCTAACGTCCCACCTTGGAAGTCTCGTTCTTTTGATCTCACTCCTGGTCAGCCCGACTTGGTGCTGTGCAAGACTCTTTAAAATATCAATCTCCATCTCTTCGGTTGGTTTGCCCGTCAACCTGTTCTTCGTAGAAATCCTCAGTCAGGGGGTTCTACCCCAGAGCATCCCCCCCAGGGTGACTCGGGGGCCCTTCTCCGTCACCGGCCCCTATTTCCGGGGTGGGGGAGAGGGTGCCAATGAGCCCATTGTCCTCACTGTTGCTCCATAATCCACGGCTGCTTTGCCTTCTAGGCAAAAAATCCTTTTGTTGTCTTCGGGGCAGGGAAGTCTCCTTCCCACAGTCGTCACAGAGATTGTGTTGTAATCCCTCCTGCGTCACAAAGGAAGGAAAGAACAAAAAAGGGAACTAAATTCTCGCCAAGGGGCGTCTCCCATATTGGGGTTCCAGCTCCCGGCTCACAAAGTTTACATTGTATTGACATTCAGAAATAAAGCCACACCGACAAAACCCAAGTTTTGTGTCCTACAATCTTCCTTGTGCGGGGGGTCCTCGACTCAACCAAAGTTCATTTAGTGGCCATTTGACGTCGCAACAACACTGGGAAAAAAAGGGACTTGGGAACTGTTTTTCACACGACCGTCGCAGCCTCTCGGTGGTCACGTCAAAATTCAGACATGTTTATGACGTCGTAAACAGGTTTATGACGGTTGCAGAGGTCATGTGATCCTCTTTTGCGACCTCGTAAAATTGGGCAAAGCTCACTTAACAAATGTCTCGCTAAACCACAAACGTTGGGGCCCAATTGAGGCCCTAAGCCGAGGACTGCCTGTGAACTTAAGTTTCCCCTGGTCAGGTCGGGCTTAGGCATGGGATAGCATCCGAATATAATTTATTTTGGGGGAAACCTCGGAAGGATAGTTTGGACCGACGCCCAGGCCGCGAAGCAGGAACGCATCGGAGCTGGCAAAGAGGTCAGTTAGCCTGGCCAGTCAGAAATGGATGGAAAAACAACTTTGGCCATCTGAGCTCTGTTGATGTTCACTTTATTGTGCAGGGAGAGTGAGCTTTCTTCTCCTTTTGGGGCCTGGTATTTCATAATTCCTGAGCCCCCCCGGCCTTCCAGGCAGTGCAGGGGAGATAAGATCCCACCCTCCCTAATGGCCTTAAAACCACCACAGCTATACTCATAAACCTCCCCCTTTCTTGCTTGAGGGGTCCTTGGTGCTCCCTGACCTTGGTTTTCTCGCAGACGTTTCGTGATCCAAACTAGGTAACCTCAGATGTCAGTGCCAGATATCTCAAGAATCTGGATTCTGGATTCCCACTTCCGAGATTGCTTACGCCAAACTCCTTATCCCTTTCTGGGACTCGAGTACAGTACCGAAACATAGGAAGAACGGTGGCTGGAACTGGGTATGTCTAGTTTAATGAAGAGAAGGACTAGGGGAGACATGAGAGCAGTCTTCCGATATCTCAGGGGCTGCCCCAAAGAAGAGCCTTGGTAGTACAGTGGTCTAAAGCACCCTGTTATTAACACAGCTGCCTGCAATTTCTGCAGGTTCGAATCTCGCCAGGCTCAAGGTTGACTCAGCCTTCCATCCTTTCTAAGGTAGGTAAATTGAGGACCCAGTTTGTGGGGGCAATAAGCTGACTTTGTATAAATATACAAAAAGGATGAAGGCTATTGCTGAGCGCATTGTAAGCCGCCCTGAGTCTCCGGAGAAGGGCGGCATATAAATCAAATTAAAAAAAAAAAAAGGGAGTCAACCTCTTCTCCAAAGCACCTGAAGGTAGGAGAAGAAGCAATGGGTGGAAACTAATCAAGGAGAAAAGCAATTTAGAACTAAGGAGAAATTAATAAGTGGAACGACTTGCCTCCAGAAGTTGTGAATGCTCCAACACTGGAAGTTTTTAAGAAGATGTTGGATAACCCTTTGTCTGAAGTGGTGTAGGGTTTCCTGCCTAAGCAGGGGGTTGGACTAGAAGACCTCCAAGGTCCCTTCCAACTCTGTTACTCTATTCTGTTCCGTCCACCGGTTGCCTGAAAAATGTGGGTCATATTGCAGGGTGGTGCCCTCCGTTCAAAATTTTCCTCCGGGTTCCAGTTCAACCCGCTTAAAAAGTGTGTGGAAACGTCTTGGGACTGACTGGGACGGGGCTCGGAGTGCGATCCAAGCCAATATGGGTTTGTAACCATGGTTTACTGAAGTGGGTTCTCAACCTCTGGTCCCCAGACCCTCGGTGGGGAGGGGTGTGTGTGATGTCATCACGGGGGTCAGCGGAGGCTTGAAGAAATGTTATGCTTTAAATCTCGAGTTAAGCCTTGGGGGTCCGTAGTGAAGAATCCTGGTATTTACTGTATTGCCTCCATTAACCTAATCCTGGTTTTTCCAACAACCATCAATTATTTGGTTTATTCCCTTTAAAAGAATGGAAATAAACAGAAAAGGGGAGGAAAAAAAATAAACTGTACAAAACACAGAGATTATGAGAGAAATGCATATGTTGTCAAAGAAAAAAAAGGGGGGGGAGAAACCATTTAGAAAGTTATTTTAAAAAAATACAAGTTCACAAAATTTAATTTAATTTCAACCAGAGCAGATCATCCTGTCTTTGCTAAGCCCTTGTCGTTGCTGGTTGAAAGGACCAGATTTTTTAAAAAGTGGATCACGCTAAATCCATCCCTTTTGGCCAATAAGGACTATTCTGGTCTAGGAAATCCCACCCGCGGCCACCAGGGGACACAGAAAGCCCGTTTAAATGGCCGGAGCTTCCTGGCATCTGTTCCTCCTGTTTCCCTCCACCTTTCTTTCTCTTTTCTTCCTCTCTCTTTCTCCTCTCCCTTTCTCTCTCTCTCTCTCTCCCCCTTTCTCTCTCCCCCCTTTCTCTCTCTCCTCTCTCCCCCCTTTCTCTCTCTCTCTCCTCTCTCTCTCCTCTCCCTTTCTCTCTCTCTCTCCTCTCCCTTTCTCTCTCTCTCTCCTCTCCCTTTCTCTTTTCTCTCCTCCCCTCTCTCCCCCCCTTTTCCTCTTTTTTCTCTCTCTCTCCCCCTTTCTCTCTCTCTCCTCTCCCTTTCTCTCTCTCTCCTCTCTCTCTCTCTCCTCTCTCTCTCCCCCTTTCTCTCCTCTCTCTCTCCTCTCCCTTTCTCTCCCTCTCTCCTCTCTCTTTTCCCCCTTTCTCTCTCTCTCTCCTCTCTCTCTCTCTCCCTTTCTCTCTCTCTCCTCCTCTCTCTCTCTCTCTCTCTTCTCCCTTCCCCTTCTTGCTTGATACCTCCCTTCTTCCTCCCACGCCCTCCAAGGGCTCGCAGGCAGCCTCTCCTTTCAGCACTGGTCTCTGTCCATCAGAATCCGGATTCAAGGCTCAAATCGGCCCCAATAACCAAGCGGAGGGAACCGCTTCCATTCCCCCCCCCCAACAACAACAACTCGCATAGAATCAGGGCTGCTGCCAGTCCCAGTTCGACACAGGTGCCCACAGGTGTGGTCAAAATGGGGGCTGCAACAGCCCCGTGGAAGCTCCGCTTGTCTTCTGGGTCTCCCAACAGCTCCAGTTGGGCTGTTCACCCTCACCTTTTCAAGCTCACCTCCCGCCCCCCTCCGATTGGGCCACACCTGGATGAAAGGAACGGCAGGACCCAGAGGCCGTTTCCTGCTGGTCCTGTCTTGCTTGTCTGGGGCAAATCGGCTCTTGTCCTTCTGCCCTACAGGTGGGGCCCCAATCCCGGGGAACGGCGGCCCAGATTCAAAGCCGAACATAATTACACGGTGCCAAGATAAGGCTTGGAGATCAACTTTTGCGTGCGGGACGGGGCCCAATAAGATCACCATTCCTCTTGTCAAACCCACGACTGCACGATACAGCCGGGAGAAGGTAGGCATGGTTCTCTTCCCTCCCTCCCACCCCCACCCCCCTCAGGATGGCGGTGGGCTTTGGAAATTCACGACCCCTCCCCGAACCCCTAGAAGTCTTCCCACGCCCCCTCCCAAGCGCCCCTTGAGCTTGGACACCCAAGCATCCCTCCAAGCTCTGTAAGCAGAAGCACCGCGGACCTCCTTCGGGACTAGAAACTTGCTGGGTTGTGTCGGTGGGTTTCCTGTAGCCGTAGGAAGAGCGGAGAGGAGGGTCTTTTTCCTGGCAGGCGATTGTCGCTAGAGCCCACCCACCCCACCCCCAAACCTCCCTCTCTCTTTCCCCCCCCCCCGCCCTCGAGAGCAGCAGCCCCGCACCCTTTTAACTGCAAGCGCCGCGGATCTCGGAGCTGGAAGCGCAGCTTGCGCGCTGCTTTGCCGGCGGAGCCCACCGGAGGAAGAGCCGGCTTGCAGCCCGGTTTGGGGCGGCTGCTAGCGGGGCTGGGCGCAGGGGCGGCTCTTCGCCCCCTCCCCACCTATTCCAGCCCCAGCAACCTCGGGGATGGGGAAGAAGAAGGAGGAGGAGGAAGAGGAGGCGGCCGGCTGCAGGCGCTGAATCCGCCTCTTGCGCCCGGCTCGGGGGGTCCCCGCAGGAGGAGAGCCGCTGCTTAGCCTCGCCCGCTCTGTGCCAGCCCCCCCCCCCCGTGCTGATGCCGATGCCTGCGGAGGGGAGCTAGAGGTCGGCTGCAGGGAGAGAGGCGGCGAGGCGCCCACCCGCCCAGGCCGGGGGCCGAGCAGCGGACAAAGCGCGGACGGCCGAGGTGAGGGACCCGGCCATCCTAAGGGGAAGAGGGGGGCGCCCTGCGAAGCCCCCTCCCCTTCTCCCGGGAATGGGGTGATGGAAGGGAGGGAGGGAGGGCGCCCCGCGGGGAGGGGGGTCCACGAACTTTTGGGCATCCTTCCCCTTTCAGGTGGGCCTGTGGGGGGGGGGGCGGCGGCTGCGCAATTCGCGGAACAGGGTCTCGCCTGGCCGAGCCACGGGGGAAGGGTCTCTGCACATCTGGGTGGGGGTGGGGAGGTGGGGTGCGTGCAAAGAAAGGGGGCTGGAGGTCTTGGGGAGCGGGGAATGCCAAGTTGCTCCAGATGGCGTGGTGCCCCCGTTTCCTAGAGGTCCAGGCATGGCAGGAGAAAAAAGCGGGGAGGGTTTCCTGCACCCCCCTATCTTAGACTAATTGGGGGCAGTTTGATACCTTCAGGAATTCCTCTGCTTTGTTTTCAAGGAAGCCATCTTTTAAATCTATCTATCTATCTATCTATCTATCTAACTATCTATCTATCTATCTGTCTGTCTGTCTGTCTGTCTGTCTGTCTGTCTGTCTGTCTACCTACCTACCTATCTATCTATCTATCTATCTATCTATCTATCTATCTATCTACCTATCTATTTATCTATCATCTGTCTGACTGTCTGTCTGTCTGTCTGTCTATCTATCTATCTATTTATCTATCTATCTATCTGTCCATTATCTATCTGTCTGTCTATCTATCTATCTATCTATCTATCTATCTATCTATCTATCTACCTATCTATCTGTCTGTCTGTCTGTCTGTCTGTCTGTCTGTCTGTCTGTCTGTCTGTCTGTCTGTCTATCTACCTACCTATCTATCTATCTATCTATCTATCTATCTATCTATCTATCTACCTATCTATTTATCTATCATCTGTCTGACTGTCTGTCTGTCTGTCTGTCTATCTATCTATCTATTTATCTATCTATCTATCTGTCCATTATCTATCTGTCTGTCTATCTATTATCTATCTATCTATCTATCTATCTATCTATCTACTATCTATCTATCTGACTGTCTGTCTGTCTGTCTGTCTGTCTATCTACTATCTATCTATCTATCTATCTATCTATCTATCTATCTATCCATTATCTGTCTGTCTGTCTGTCTGTCTGTCTGTCTGTCTGTCTATCTATCTATCTATCTATCTATCTATCTATCTATCTATCTATCTATCTATCTATCTATCTCTATCTATCTATCTATCCATCCTAGTCTTGCCCTTCTGGTACCTTTGAGGCGGGGGGGGGGGTTCAGATTGCTCAGCCTTAAGAGTTCCAGGGGTCTCTTGTCAAGTTTGGCTACGCTTAAACCCCTCCCCTCCTCGCCACCCCACCCCCACCCCTTGGCATAGCTGGGTTCTTATCCTTGAGATACCACAGAAGAATCAGGCTGCAAATGCCCTAAGGGCGAGGGGAGTTGCGTTGGGGAGGGGGAAATAGAAGAGAGCTGTTCCCGGAGGGAGGGGCGGTGCTTTCGGCTCCAGCTTGAGAGAGAGGAGAGAGAGAGAGAGAAGAGAGAGAGGAGGAAGATTAGTAAATAACACCAAGATCCGGATGCTGGAGAAATCTGGCCTCCGATTGCAACCGACCCGTGCATTTCACAGCGGCCTTTATTGGCTAGCTGGGGATGAAAGCGTTTCTGAAGGGGGATCACGTGTGGCTTGGAAAAGGGGTGGGGAGGGGGCTTCCAGAGATGGGGAGCCTCTCTTCTCTGCTGAGAAACGCCTGGGCTGAGAGGAAGGGTCTCTTGGGCTGCGATTGGGGGGTGGGGGTGGGAAGAGAGAGAAAAAGAAAGGAAGGGTCTCTCTGAAAGGCAAATCCGGGGGTGATGGAGGGAGATCCGGGGATGAGCTGAGCCGGCCTGGCTTTGGCATTTCAGCTAAAGGAAGGCAACGATCTGCTCAGATCTCCTCCGCCCCCCCCCCCCGGCACACGGCAGAGAAGCCCTTGGCTCGGATCAGCCCCCGAAGCTGCAGTTAGTCAGGCTTTGCAAAGGGGGGGGGAGAGGGGGAGAGAAGAGCAGAGCCTGCGCAGAACGGCATTTCCTGCGCTTTCCTCCCCCCCCCCCCCACTGGACAGGCTCTGGGTCAGAGATCCATCAGCCAGCCTCTCTCCTTCCCTCCCTCCCTCCCTCCCTCCCTCCCTCCTTCCTTCCTTCCTTCCTCTTGTCCTTCCTCCTCCTCCCTCCTTCCTTCCTTCCTTCCTTCCTCTTGTCCTTCCTCCCTCCCTCCCTCTTTCCTTTCCTTCCTTCCTCCCTCCCTCCTTCCTCACCTATCTACTTACCTACCTCTTGTCCTTCCTTCCTTTCTCCCTCCCTCCCTCTTTTCTCCCGTCCTTCCATCCTTCCTTCTTTTCTTCCTTCCTTCCTCTTGTCCTTCCTTCCCTCCTCCCTCCCTCCCTCCCTTCCTCAACTACGTACCTCCTGCTGCCCTCTTTCCCTCCCTTCCTCCCTCCCTCCTTCCTCACTTCCCTACCTCTTGTCCTTCCTTCCTTTCTCCCTCCCTCCCTCTTTTCTTTCCTTCCTTCTTTTCTTCCTTCCTTCCTCTTCTCCTTCCTTCCCTCCTCCCTCCCTCCCTCCCTTCCTCACCTACGTAACTCCTCCCTCCCTCTTTTCCTTCCTTCCTTCCTCCCTCCCTCCCTCCCTCCTTCCTTCCTCACCTCCCTCCCTCCCTACCTATCTACCTCCTTCTTCTTTCTGCTAGCCCTTTGAAGCTGGGACCCTTGGACTAGCAGCATCCTTCACCCCCAACCCAGAGGTCCTGATTTGATGGCCATTGTAATCCAACTGTCAGTTTCAAGGTTGACAGAAGGTGTCTTGATGATGGACTCGCTTGGAGGGAGAGAGAGAGAGTATCTCCACTCTCTCCATGGGGAGGGGGTCAGATGGGGGGGGTGAGAATGAGCAGCGAGGGGCTGTCTACCAGTGTGATGCCCTACCCACCTTTGGCAGCCCAGGTTCCCCTCCTGCTTTGCTGATGTCCTGCAGCTTAAAACAGGGCAGGATGGAAGCTGATTTCTCTCTCAGCTCTGTGAAGGGTCTTTATTTTACCCCTCCTGAAAACCTCAATGGCACCCCCTCCCCCATCTCCCCCTCCTCCCCTCCCCAGTCTATCTAATCAGACTCTAATCCCTTTGCAGGAGATTGTCCCTCCAGGCCCCCTTCCCTCCCTCCTTCCCTCCCTTGTCTTGCATTTGAATGCAGCTATTAGTTTTTGCCTTGGGTCTAATCCTCCAAACAGATTTGGCTAGCATCCCTGTTTAAGCATTTGCTTGGAAACATTTTCCTTGTCTCTGTTTTTTTTTTTTAAAAAAAATCCTAATATTAAGGTAAAGGTAAAGGTGCACATATGTGCTATAGTCGTTCCCGACTCTAGGGGGCGGTGCCTATCTCCGTTTCCAAGCCGAAGAGCCAGCGCTGTCCGAAGGCATCTCCGTGGTCATTTCCCCAACTGGCTGGGGGAATCCTGGGAGTTGAAGTCCACGAGCCTTAAAAGTCGCCAAGGTTGGAGACCCCTGGCTTAAAACGATAGCGCTTCCCCTTCCGTCTTTGAAATGAGCAAGGGGTAGGAAGATGGTGAACATAATTTCCAGTTCTGATTCTTGTCATGCCATCCCTTTTTTTTAAAATAGAAGCAATTGGGGCACTTCATTGGTGACTGATGGGGGTGTGAATCACTTCTTAGAACAAGATGTGATGTAGCACAGTAAACTGGAGCAGATGCAGTTATGGAATGAAGAAGTAGCTGATTGTTTTATTTAGTCGCCCCTTTCCATACTCTTTGGCGGAGGTCTTCAAACTTGGCAGCTTTAAGACTTGTGGACTTGAAGTCTTTAAGACTTGTGGACTTCAAGTCCACAAGTCTTAAAGCTGCCAAGTTTGAAGACGCCTGCTCTTTGGGATCTAGATTAAAGCTATTTAAACAATTAAATCTATTCCTCGTGCAAAAAAAGAGACCTGATTGCAATCTATAGACAAGGAAAGTGTTTGTTAGTGTTGTAGGAAAGACAACACTAGGCCAAGCTCTTCATTAATGTAGCTGGTATCCAGTAAGCAGGTCTCTAAAATCGAAGTGCTAAGTCCCTTGCTAAGAAATGAGACGTTATTTACAATTTATTTATCTATTAAAACTTGGATGTGCTACGTTCACCTATCAAACCAGGATTTAAACCAACTATGGTTCCAAAGTCCATACTTGCATGACTAACATACATAGAAATTATCTTTTTACGGCCTTGTAGTCCCTGTTCGGAGTATAGTCAGGGTGAATGGGTGGAGCTGAGCATTTACTGTCCGGATGCCCTTCCTGACGCCACAGGGAGTTCACAGTAGATATTTTTTTCTTCTTTGTGTACTAGGAGACAAACATCTGCCACTAGCTAGGATTAAACTCTCTAACCTTCTGAATGGGAGGCGAGTGTCTTCGCCACTAGGCCACCCCGCTGCCCATGACCACACATACATAAATCTCTCCCAAATTGAGAAATCTCTTGCTCACGGGGCCCCCACCTGCTGTGGTGGATGGAGTTGGCCATCCATGACCTTGGAGAGCACCTGAAGAGCAGAACTTTCACCTCTGTTTCCTTTGCCTTCCCAACAGAGGAGCAGCTATGGCGGAGAGGACCCTCGATCCCACCTGTGTCTCCATTGCCCTGGAGGACTCTGTCTGCAACGCTAGCTCGCAGGATGGCTCCTTCCTGACCACCCACCTGAAGAAGGTGGAGAACCACATCACGGAGGCTCAGAGGTTCTCCCATTTGCCCAAGCGGTCAGCTGTGGACATCGAGTTCATCGACCTGTCGTATTCGGTCCGGGAAGGCTCTTGCTGGCGGAAAAGAGGTAGGATGGCAGTCCCTCGGAGGAGGATGTTAACCCTGGCAGGTGCCAATCGAGGTTGAAGGACATTTCTTCCATGGGCTTTGATGTCTGTAGGCATCTCTGCATGACATACAGAAAGCAAAGAAGTAGTTCTCAGCTCATGACCATAATTGAACCCATAATTTCAGCTGTAGGTTTATTATTATTTATTTATTGGTTCAATTTATATGCTGCTCTTTTCTGGAGACTCAGGGCGGCTTACAATGCGTTAAGCAATAGCCTTCATCCTTTTGTATATACCTGCTTAGTAGGGCTTTTGGGCCCCCCTAAGCGGTGTTCTTTTTTATACAAAGTCAGCTTATTGCCCCCACAATCCAGGTCCTCATTTTACCTACCTCGGAAGGATGGAAGGCTGAGTCAACCTTGAGCCTGGTGAGATTTGAACCTGCAATAATTGCAGGCAGCTGGTGTTACTTTAACAGTGCTTTACTCTGCTGCGCCACCAAGGCTCTTTGTGACAATCATAAAGTAGTTCATCATGGAACTGCACCTGATTTTGCAACCTTCTTGAGGTGGCCATTAAGTGAGTCCAATGTTCACTATGGGATGGTTTTTGCCAGAAGTATACGCCAATTTCCAGCAAAAACATCCTGAATCCTGTTCGCAGGATCTCGGGGTCACCGAAAACGGCCACCAATTCAGACTGGTTCCCAAGGACTCAAAAGGGTAGTCATATATCCGTAGGGTAGGGAGGAGACCACAGGACATTGGAACTTGGAAACTAAGTCCTTTTTTTGGGATCCGTTGTAACTTCAAATGGTCATTAAGTGACCAGTCCTAAGTTGAAGACTAGCTATATGCCTGCTGGAACAGCTCTGCCTCTTAGAAGTGGCTGTTTTGCTCCAGCATCCTTAAGTCAGTTCTGAGTTTGGTCCACCTAAGCATCTAACTCAGTTAAGGCTGATCATCTCCAATCTAGAAACTTCCACACATCCCGAGACTGCAGCTTCTGGTTATCTGAAGGCCAGCCTTTCATCCATGGAAAGATCTGGTGGAACCCAGAGAAATGACTCAAGATAGCTGGGATTCCTTCATCTTCCGTTCAATATCAGTCAATAGAAATGTATTGCAGTCATAAACCAGGGACCAGGACAGATAAAAACACTCAATAAATATTTAATTAAAAATTCTAGAATAAAATAATAAATAACAGATACAATCTATGATTTAAAAAAATCCAGTCTGTCAACTATACATGGTCTAACTCTACTAAAACCACAATCCATAAACTCTGTGGACTCCACAGTCAGTTTATTACTAAAAGGGAAAGTAATAAGCAGCGCAAAGGATTTGCCACATTTGTTGTACGAAAGAGCTGTGGAGGGTTTGACACGTGTTTCCGACGATTCCCCGGTGCTTCCATTCCATCTGAGGAAGATGGGATTTGTCACTGAAGATGTCCGATGATCCAGCATGTGAGATGAACTCTCTGTTGCTTGTCATGGAGGCCATAAACCTCTGAGCCTGACCGATGGCCTAAACCCCCTTCTAAAGCCCTGAGATTAAAGCACCATGTAGGTAAAATGCTTCTGGACCCCTAGATGGACTCATAGAATTCCCAACTTCTCCTTGCAACTCAACATCCACTCAACATTCCCCACACCAGGGACACTGGAAATAACAAGAGTTGTTCCAGACATTCTGAGACTACAGCTTCTACTTATCTGAAGGCCAGGGGCTTGGAGAAGGTTTCCATCCATAGAAAGGCTGGTGGGACCCAGGGAGATGACCACAGGCCAAGATAGCTGGGATTCCTTCATTTTCCACTCCATCTGAGGAAGATGGAATTTGTCACTGTGGATGACCGATGAGCCAGCATGTGAGATGGACTCTCTATTGCTTGTCATGGTGGCCATAAACCTCTGAGCCTGACCCGTGACCTAAACCCCCTTCTAAAGCCCTTTAGATTAAACCACCATTCCTTGAGATTAGTCAATGTAGGTAAGATACCTCTGGAACCTTAGATGGACAGTAACTCATAGAATTCCCACCTTCTCCTTGCAACTCAACATCCATCCAGCAGTCCCCTACCAGGGATACTGGAAACAACAGAGTTGTCACAGAATGTGGTCACCACACCTACTTGTTCTCCGTAGCGTCACTGTTGCTGCAATATCTGAATTCATGTAAGATCTCTGCACAGGAAACGCCCATCTCTTTGCTGGTCACATTTTGGTCATGCCTGCCAGATCTGTTCGTGCATCCAAGATCAAATCCTCAAGGGGTCAAGACTTGACAGATTACATGTTCAAAATAGTAGCCTAAGGCTAGGATATCCAGAAGGATGGAATCCGGGGCCGTGGGAAAAGGTCCCTGAACTAGAGAATGGAATGGAATGGAATGGAATGGAATGGAATGGAATGGAACGGAGTAGAGTAGAGTAGAGTAGAGTAGAGTAGAGTAGAGTAGAGTAGAGTAGAGTAGAGTAGAGTAGAGTAGAGGAAGGAGAAGGAGAAGGAGAAGGAGAAGGAGAAGGAGAAGGAGAAGAAGGGACTCTGGAGGTCTTCTAGTCCAACCCCCTGCTTAGGCAGGAAACCCTACACCACTTCAGACAAATGGTTATCCGACTTCTTCTTAAAAACTTCCAGTGTTGCCCATTCACAACTTCTAAGTACAAGTTGTTCCACTGATTAATTGTTCTCACTGTCGGGAAATTCCTCCTTAGTTCTAAGTTGCTTCTCTCCTTGATTAGGTTCCACTTGTTGCTTCTTGTTCTATCCTCAGGTGCTTTGGAGAATAGCTTGACTCCCTCTTCTTTGGGGCAGCCCCTGAAAGGGAGAATTTCTGACTGCTTATCGTCCTTGTTATGAGCAGGCCCATCCAGGACCCCTGTCCTATCTCCCCTACTGGATAGAGCTGCAATCTCTCTCCCGTTCTCGTAACCTCTGAGGTTGATCATACCCTCTCCCTAACCCTTGAGGAGCTAGCTGCGGAGGCCCATGCTCCACAGCCAGCTTTCCTTGCACTTATCCAACCCAGGATCTACCCATAGCAATAGAAACCACCAAATCCCTCTGGATTATTTTCTCTAGTGCCAGCTCACACAGTTCTCCCTCCGGGACCAAGCCGCTCCCATTGTTCTCTAGGGTGTATTCTCCCTAGAAGAAGAATTTGGGGGATTTCCAAGGGAGATTACATCAACGATGCACCTTTGCTTCCCAAATTAAACACCTCTGTATGAGAAATAGAGAACAGACCTGGTAGTTGATAACAGAGCTATTTGAGAGACCGGATTAGGAAATCAACCCACTTTTGTCGAGATTGGTTGTAATAATAGAATTTTGTGAGCCTGTGCCCGTGTCCTCTTATATCAGGGATCAGCAATCTGTGGCTCTGGAGCCACATGTGGCTCTTTGGGACCACTGCTGTGTCTCCCTGTCAGGTGATCCCACCACTGGCTGGCCCCGCCCCTCGCCCTCCCTTCCCGGTCACTCCTCACCTGGCCTGAGAAGGTAAGGGCGACAGTGGGGGATGGAGAAGTGGCCAGGGCAGAGACAGGGAGGTACAGAGAGAGAGGGAGGGGGGAGAGAGGGAGGGAGGGAAGGAGGGAGGGAGGGGAGAGAGAGAGATGTCAAAAGGGTTTTGTGGTTCCCGGTGTTTTTTAACAACTGGTTCTCTGCTCTAATGACCGGCTGGGTAGGCGTGGCTAGGGGGAGTCATGTGACTGGTGGAAGTGAGTGACATCGAGTTGGCCACACCCAGCCAGGTTTTGTGGCTCACGGTGTTTTCTTTTCTGTGGGAAACGGGTCCGAATGGCTCTTTGAGTATTTAAGGTTGCAGACCCCTGACCTTATATCAGTAGTGGGTTTCAATTTCGTTTGCTACCCGTTTGCTCGTGGGCGCGCTTGCGCAATGCGTCTGGGTGCGTCTGGGTGGGGGCGGAGCCTCCCGCCACCACCGCTACCGGTTTGCCCAATCGGGGTGAACCAGTAGCAACTCACCACTGCCTTATATCCCAGCGAATCGGGATATCGAGTCTTGTCTGGACTACCTTACAAGGTTGACAGATGTTGGTTTTATTTGGGTTAGGATGGTCCTGGAGTTCAGGAACCTTGAACCACAAAAACTGGAGTTTTGGGTTGGTCACCAGGACTAGAGGTTTTTGGACTCGTGCTGGAGCCCATCTTCAAGGAACTTCTACCCGAAGGTAGAGAGACATTCTGGTAGAAAGAAGAAGTTCCCTTGAAGTCCGAAAGCTCAGAAGTCTTGTTGACCGACCCAGATTGGCTCCTGCAACATTATCCTGGGACGCATCCAGTTGCTTTCATTCGTCACAAAAAACCGGGCCTAGAAAAGATGAGATGTTTCATCAGAAAAGAGATATAGAGCTGGGATGGGACTCACTGAATTAAGTCACTTGAAAAGTTGGGTCATCTTGTCCCAAAGAAAGCTGGTATGGATGGTCTTGAGATTCCAGGGCTGGGCAGGAGGACAACAACAGTGGCCTGAATGGTGTCTTCAGTTTAGGATTTGCAATGCTTTTCAAAAGACGTTGCGCCCAAAAGTCTTTGTAGGAATTCATCTTGAAACTTGCTGCAGGCGGAATACGTGCTGTGCTTCTAAGCCAGGATCCCATTCCTGGTTTCATTGAACGTGGGCGTTGTGGTCTGCCAGCAGCCTGCGGACCTGGCAGCGGAGTCGGGCAGTGAGGAGGCTGGGGAGGAACATGGGCCAGTCCTGGAGTCTGGGAAAGGCCCGGATGAGGGCTCTGCGTCGGAGGCAGAGATGGGGCCAGGGCCATCTGGGAGCGATGCATGGACTCCGGAGCCTCCAGAGTCAGACAGCAGAGAGGCAGAGGAACAGGAGGAGCCTGTTCCTAGTGCACGCATGAGAAGAGCTGCCAAAAGGCAGGAGCAGCTAAAGCAAAAGGGACAACTCAGGAGTAAGGCCAGGAGATGAAGTATTTATGCGGTGCCTGGTGGTGTGTGGTGTTTAGTTGTTAATTAGGGCGTTGATGGCCA